CTAAAAAAGGCCATCAATGCTCCTTCCCCTGCCACATGCTGCCTTCATTGGAACGTTTGGAGTTGGATTTATAGTTGACCCCGCCTCTCCCCGCCCACCTCGACCTTTAAATTCCTCCACGCCAGGGGCCGTATTGATTCATCTATGAAAATCCTCAACTCATCTCCATTCCCAGAACAGAGTAGCACGAACTGGGCGACCTGCAAAGATTGAATGAACGAACAAATGACTAAATAGACGAATTTGAGTCCTCACTATGCCGTGTCTGGTAAACTGACTCTCCCGTGCCTCAGTTTCCCCAGCTGCTCAGCTCGGGATGAGGCCGACCAAAGTAATCTCGCGGACCGGCGGCGAACAGCTGCGAGAACTACAGGGCTGGGAGGGCAGTACCGCCCCGCTACTCGCGGCGTTGGGGCGGGGCTGGAAGGGGCGGAGCCGGGACTCCCCAGCTGCGCCGCCATTGGCCGCGCCCGCCGTCACCCGGCAGTAGTTGTAAAGGTCAGCCCCGCCCCTTCCTCTTTCTCTCCGAGCAGGCGGCGGCGGCGGCGGGGTGTTCAGCTATGGTGAGAGCTGAGGAATCGGGAGCCATCCGCGCGTTGTTGGGCTCGGAGACTGGGGTTGGGGGTGCAGGGTGAACCCTGGGGTCCCCTCTGCCAGCCGGGCCTGTGGAGTATAGTGCGGAATGGCCTAGCTCCGCCACTGCCGGCCTTCCTCCCACCCCCGCCGGCCTGGGCTGGGAGCGGCGCGCGCGCGCTGCCGGCGGCCTCCGTCTTCCCGTCTGCGGAGTGGGAGTAGCGGCCCAGCCTCGTAGCCGACCTGGGCCTCGGATACCCTGCGCCGGGCGCGCGCCCTCCTGGGGCCGGCCAGGACGCAGGTGGAGGGGCGGGGAGGGCCGGCGGAGGGGGAGACGGAGGCACCCGGCACTTGACCCAGACCCTTCCTTGCACGCAGGCCAAAATTAAGGCTCGGGACCTTCGCGGCAAGAAGAAGGAGGAGCTGCTCAAACAGCTGGACGACTTGAAGGTGGAGCTGTCCCAGCTGCGCGTAGCCAAAGTGACAGGCGGCGCAGCTTCCAAGCTTTCTAAGATGTGAGTGACGGGCGGCCGGACCGCGGGCCTCAGGGCGGCGGGGGGAGTCTGTGTGCATCGGGGGCGTTTGTGGATCGTTGAGGTTGGCTCAGGGCCGTGTCCGCTGAAGTGCCCGTTCGGTGGATCTGTGGGTTGGAGTGTCAGGCCCTCCCACCCGGGCTCGCCCGCTCACGGCCCTCCGCGTGGGGACCCGCTCCTCTTCACCTGCCTTGGACCGTGTGGTCCTGCTGCCCGGAGTGCCCTTCAGCTTCTCTGGCTGGTGAAAGAACAGGGTGTCCCTCTTCGGGGACATTTTAATGCTTCCTAAAGAAAACCCAACTGGACGTTTTCTTTAATCTTCCACCAGCACTTGGTTCCCCCCTTCCTCTCCCCAGTTGGTAGGTGAGTGCCTTGCACCTTACTTGAGTTGTAGTGTAAATTAGTGATTTCCATGGGTCAAGAATTGTGTAAGGAATGTGGGTTTGGAGTCAGTCAACCTGGGCACAAATTCCACTTCTGCCACATCCTACCTGGTGGGCAGGTTGGCTAACCACCCGGGATTTTTTCTTCTGTGAAATCTCCCCAACAGCCTTCATGTGGTGGGGCAGGATATTGGGTGAGTTTGGGAACATGTAAGCAAGTGTCATGCCGAATCCTCAAGAGCAGGTTTACCAAGCTGTCTACTGAGTGAGCCTCCCCGCTGCGCCGCCCCCCCCCCCCCCCCCATGAATAAAGAATCAGCTGTTCCTGGGTTCCAGCTCTCTGCTCAGGAGCATTTCTCCCTCCCAGGGGCCCCTGGTGGGACTCTTTAAGCTTCCCTAGTTGCCCAGCTTTGGAAATGATTCTTTCTGGGCAGCTCATTAAGATGGGCATTGGCTAGGTTGGCTTCATAGCCCTCAGGATGTATGGCCTGGCCCTCCATCTCTCCTCATTCAGCCTCCTCAGTGGACACTTCACAGATCCTCCAAAGCACTGGACGCTCCAGGCCTTCCCTATTCACTCCTGAGATTCCCATATGCTATAGTCGCTCCGACCTTACCCTCAGAATACCTTGCTCCTGGGCTGGGTTAAGCGCATCTTGGGTGGATATGGATGAGATCTGGGTCAGGCCCTGAATGAGATGCTATGTGTTCACTGATGTCTCTGTTTTTGTAGCCGAGTTGTTCGCAAGTCTATCGCCCGTGTTCTTACCGTCATTAACCAGACTCAGAAAGAGAACCTCAGGAAATTCTACAAGGTGAGTGGGGGTATGTGTGGGGCTGCGTGTGGGGCTGCCTGGCTCTAGGGAGCAAAGTTCCAGCCCTTCCTTGCTGAGGGCGGTCAGGATGAAGAGGTTCTGCTGGTGTATGTGGGACAGAGCTTTGCCCAGGCATCGTTGGGCTTTCCAGACCCGTCCAGCTTGTAAATGGGTTTGCCTTTCCAGCATCTTGCTCTGGCATGTGGTATGCAGACTGCATTTCCTCGGGCTGCCATTGTCAAGAAATCAACTGCGTGGTAGGACTCCTGGGTTTGGGTGCAGCCTCACCAGCTGAATGAGTTTGGGCAGTCTGCGGATTGACTGCTAAACGTCTTGTCTTATAGTACTGTGTGTCAGTCACCGCCAAGCACCTGCCATTCTTGTTTTTCGGATGAGGACCTCAAGGCTTAAAGAGGTTAAGTTGCTCAGAGTCGCCTACAAATAATGGAGTGATTGGGCTGAGGTTCAAAACCATGCCTTGGGGAGGGGTGAATGGGGTGCTCCTGGGAGATTTCCACAGGTGTCTGATCCCTCAGCCTAGGATATTGACAACCATTTCCTAGTCCTGTCCTCAGATGAGTCTACCAGGGTTCAAGCAGTGAAGGCAAACCAGTGGGATACTTTGTGTGTGCGTGAATATGTATATTTTGTTGCAAGGAATTGGCCTATGTGGTTGTGAGGGCTGGCTTAAGATTGTGGGCAGGCTGGGACTCAGGACACAGGTTGAAGCTGCTGTCCCACCGGTGGCATTTCTTGGGGAGAGCCTCAGCCCTGCCTTGAAGGACTTCCAGCTGGTTTTTATCAGGCCCACCTAGATTACCCAGGATATTCTCTCAATTTAAATCAGCGGATTGATTACATCTTCACATCAACTCCCAAATTTAGTGTTTGAATACGAGGGTTTGATACAAAAAGGGCCATCACGGTGTGCCTGGG